GCACGCCGGCTATGCTATGTGTGCCTTGCATGCATGGTGGTATTATAAGCAGTCCCGGGTGAGTCGTTGAGGATGTCTGGGAACTACTAGCAGCCTCGATCTGAGGATTGCCTATGCTTGGAGCCGTGGTGTTTTCTTCCTAATCGAACAGCCGCTATCATCGGTACAGGCCTCAATTATATATAGGTTTTGTTACAGGATCAGACTGGTGTCACGTGTGTGTGTGTGGGTGTGTGTGTGTGTGTCTGTGTCTGTGTGTGTTTGGGGTCCTCTTAGGTATTATTCTCCTTTCCCCCTGTGCAGCGCCTCCTCTTTCGATGTGGCGCCAGGCTGCAGATGTAGACCTGTGTCATGTGTGCCAGCAATAAAAATTACTCGAATGAGTCATGGTTCCTGTTATATACGCATTGTAGATGATGATTTTGTAAGAAGCCATGCATTAGCACTTCGAGAGTGAAACAGGTGCTCCTTTAATCTTCCTGACAGGAGGGTTGCATTCCCGATGGCAGCCTATGGGTCCGAAACACTCAAGATGACACTGTTTCCTGGCTGCATAGATGCATACATCGTGCTGTGGCAGAAGCATGCTGGCCCTGCAACTCCACTGCAAACCCATGAAGGATCTATACTACTTTGCCACGAGCTGAAACCTTGGCACGATCTATCCCCTTCAAGAAGCTGAAGCTCAAGCTGAAACTTGGCAGTGTATCTAGAGCAGGGGTGGGGGAGGGCTGTGTGGATGTGCTCGAGCAATTGTCCTGCTAGCTATCGACGGCACTTACAGCCTAGGAAGGGTGCCAAGAAGCTTGTCAAACGTAAAGCTGACAAGAGTGGACGTGTGCGAGTGTACGGTCTCAGCACGGCTTTGAAAGAGTCTGCTGCATATCCGATAGCCTTTGGATTTGCTCTTCAGTCACTAGTGCCTGAGGCTGCAAGCTGTCCTGCTCGAACTTTGGATGACATCTGTCATGATAGCAGCAGTGATGAGTCTCTGGATGATATGATGAAGGGAACATGCCAGTGGCGTGCTCTGCGATCTCGATCCTAGGATATCCAGGGCATGGTCACCCATAGGCCTGTATATGCTACTCCTCTAATTAATGAATATTATAGATATATCTTGCCTGTAACAGAGGCAACTGCCTGCATATAGGAGAGCAAACTGCCTGTATACAGGAATTGGGTGGCCCTGGCCTCCTCCAGCTCATGAAGAGCTCCCAAAGGCCTTTCAGGGGACCCAAAGGCACGAGGAGCACAAATCGGTCCGAGGGGCCAAAGTGGCCCGAACACTGCGTGTCAGTGCGTGTCAATGCGTGTCAGGCCTATATCAAGTGCCTCCAAATAGAGGGCACTTCTGCGATTTGAGGGCACTTGTAGGTCTACAGGGGCTACGCGAGTGCGTGTCAATGCGTGTCAGTTCGTGCCACGTGTCGGTCTCGGTGATGCTTTGTGCCTTTTGCACCCAACACGTGGGCTACGGAGCCATTTCGGCAAAGAAGCCCTCATCCGCCCTTCATTTTGAAGGATCTATGCACCGAGGCCGGAACAGCTTTGGGGTTTAGGCTTTGGGCTGATTTCGATAGTTCTGCAATCTCTGATTTGCTGGCTTTGGGCCTAAATGTTTGTTGAAACATGCTAAGTTCGATTATATGCATGCAGCATGTCAGGTGCACTTGTGAAAAAACGGATCATTGGCAAGCAAAAGGTGCTTTCGCCAGCGGCAAAACTAAAGATGGTTCTTGCAGAGAACGCAAGAAAGAAGGCCGAAGCCAAAGGTGCAAAGAGGGAGGCAGGATCTGTTGAGGAAAGCCGCAAGAGGCAAAAGCAACAGCACGAGCACACGAAGGACAGAGCAACAAGCCCCCGAGCTAATGATGAGAAGAACAAAAATACAACACGGAAAGAGAAAGACGAGAAGGATCGAGAACGCAAGGTGCGAGCTGAACTATCCATTTTGCTTTTAGAGATTCTTCTACATGCAGATATGTACATGCTTCCTGCAAACAGGACAAGAAAGACCGAGATGGCCCAATCCCAGCACAAGAGGCCACAGCATTTCCAGGGTTTCAGTTGATTATAATTAATATATATATATATATATACATATATATATATATTTTTTATATATAAATATAAATACACAGATATTTTTCTATATTATACTATATACTACACCTTGTCTTATCTTATCGTATCATATTATATCTTATCTTCTAGTTGAATATGAGATGTGTTATATATATATTATAACATATTCAGTTATGTACATATATATATATATATTATCATACAATATTTAATACTATACCTTGATTTATAATACATATATATATATACTTACAAATACATATACATATACATCTATATATATATATGAATGAATAAGGCCCGGTGTCGAAGATCTATAGAACATTATATACATTGCCATGGTTCTGCATTACCAATAAATGATTTAAAGTGTCCTCCTACACCCTCCATCTACCCTCTATTAGACCCTAAATGCTCTTAATTTGGGACCCTTTACCCCTATTTGAGGGTACTTGGCTAGCTATTCACAAGTGCAGGAAGGATCCTTTCTCTACAGGCTGGCCTTTTCCCTTGAATCGTGTATGTAACATGTTCTATACTCAAACCCTTCAATAGTCATTGCTGCGAAGGATAGGAAGAAGACAGAACGAGGAAGATCAAGAGAACCAGCCAGAGCCCGAAAGGATGAAGATAGGGTCCCACCTGCTTGCAACCCCAGCCCCAAAGCTGAGAAGGAGAAGAAGGACAAGAAAGATGGATCGAGCAAGCCAGCTTCCCAGGCACCAGCAGTTCGCAGCACCAGCCCGAAAGGCAAGAAGGAGAAGAAGGACAAGGATGGATCAAGCAAGCCAGCTTCCGAAGCACCAGCAGTTCGCAGCAGCTGCCCCGAAGGCAAGAAGGAGAAGAAGGACAAGGATGGACCGAGCAAGCCAGCTTCCGAGGCACCAGCAGTTCGCAGCACCAGCCCCAAAGCTAAGAAGGAAAAGAAGGACAAGGATGGATCAAGCAAGCCAGCTTCTGAGGCACCAGCAGTTCGAAGCACCAGCCCGAAAGGCAAGAAGGAGAAGAAGGACAAGAAGAATGGATCGAGCAAGCCAGCTTCTGAGGCACCAGCAGTTCCCAACCCCAGTCCAAAAAGCAAGAAGGAGAAGAAGGAAAACGAGGATGGATCAAGCAAGCCAGCTTCCGAGGCAGCAGCAGTTCCCAGCCCCAGTCCAAAAAGCAAGAAGGAGAAGAAGGACAAGGATGGATCAAGCAAGCCAGCTTCCGAGGCACCAGCAGTTCGCAGCACCAGCCCGAAAGGCAACAAGGAGAAGAAGACTAAGGATGATGGATCGAGCAAGCCAGCTTCCGAGGTAGCAGCAGTTCGCAACCCCAGCCCTAAGTCCAAGAAGGAGAAGAAAGATAAGAGGCTCGAGCAGCATGGATTGATGGAGCCAGCTTCCGAAGCACCAGCAGTTCGCAGCAGCTGCCCCGAAGGCAAGAAGGAGAAGAAGGACAAGGATGGACCGAGCAAGCAAGCTTCCGAAGCACCAGCAGTTCGCAGCACCAGCCCAAAAAGCAACAAGGAGAAGAAGGACAAGGATGGATCAAGCAAGCCAGCTTCCGAAGCACCAGCAGTTCGCAGCAGCTGCCCCGAAGGCAAGAAGGAGAAGAAGGACAAGGATGGACCGAGCAAGCCAGCTTCCGAGGCACCAGCAGTTCGCAGCACCAGCCCCAAAGCTAAGAAGGAAAAGAAGGACAAGGATGGATCAAGCAAGCCAGCTTCTGAGGCACCAGCAGTTCGCAGCACCAGCCCGAAAGGCAAGAAGGAGAAGAAGGACAAGAAGGATGGATCGAGCAAGCCAGCTTCTGAGGCACCAGCAGTTCCCAACCCCAGCCCGAAAGACAAGAAAGAGAAGAAGGACAAGGATGGATCGAGCAAGCCAGCTTCCGAGGCACCAGCAGCTCGCAGCACCAGCCCAAAAAGCAAGAAGGAGAAGAAGTCGACTAAGGATGCTGAGCAGGCTAAGGAATCTTCGAAAGCTCACCACCCCAGCCCCGAAGCTAAGAAGGATTCGAAGCGCAAGGGTGAACTGCTTGAGGCGTCTAAGAGCAAGTGCCACAAGACTTCCGAGGAGCCTGCCGATCATCAGCTAAACCCAAAGCCCTTTTTTTAACACTCTCCCTGAACCCTAAACCCTAAGCCCTAAACCCTAAACCCTTTTGACCCTGCAACCTTAAGGTAACATAACCCTAAATGTTATATTGTATGTTACGGGGTGTTACATATACACATACATATATGTATGTGCCATAGACACATGCAGTTGTTAATGTATATGTATGTGCATATGCATGCATGCATGTATGTGTGTACGTATGTATATGTACGTATGTATGTATGTATGTATGTATGTATGTATGTATGTAGGTAGGTATACATGTATGTATGTGTATATATATATATACATAGATAAAAATGTATGTATGTATGTATGTATGTATGTATGTATGTATGTATGTATGTAGTGCGGATGTATACATGATTTTCGTATGTGCCTACTGTTTACGGCTAGGCCCTGGCCTCTGTCCCACCAGGAGGGAGCCCCGAAGCTGAAGTCGAAGATTGCTGATCCTGATGCAGCAACACAGACCCCAGTCAGGCGCAGGTCCGAAAGCAGTGACCTACACACCCCGAGCCCTGCTCTCAGAAAGAGCCACACATTTCAGGACACACCGTCTGCTAGCAAACCCCAAGCCCCAAGGAGGCAAGCACCGCAAAGGCAGGACACAATTGCAAGTTTGTTCCTTGGGTCGGAGGCCAGCGACACACCTGAGGGAAAGCAAGAGCGCAAGACGAAGTTTACCGAAGCAGAAAAGGAACAAATCAGAGGGATGGCTAGCTGCAAGGCACTTTCGATTGCTGGGGTGTTTGCAATTCTCGGCCTATATGACATACTTATCTTTAATAATTGGTACGCTGCCAGGACATGCCCTACAAGGAGAGGAAGCGCCAATATGCGGCACTCCGACGTGCAATCTTGAAGAAGAACAATCCAGCTTTGACGGCCAAGTTCTCTTTGTGTTCTGATGGGGATCGGTGCCTATCCATGCAATCAGTTTGTACATACACACCTATCTATGTCGTGTTGTGGATTGGAAATCTGAAAAATGCACTCAGGTTTGGGATGCTCAAATCGTTTCTCGTTAATGAAGGAGTGGGGGCGATCGAAATCGAAGAGCGCTTCCAAACCTTCGTCAACAATTTGCGGTCTGACCGCTACGTGACAGCAGCTTTGCAGGCAAATCGTTCGATGCATGCATACCAAACCCTAAACCTCACAACCCTAAACCCTAAGCCCCCTTGCATTCCAAGATCCGAACTTAACTCAGGTCACGATTTTCCAACTGGAGAAACTCTATGGCACTTCCGAAGAGGCAAAAGCCTTTATCGAATCCCTGATCAAGGGCCGCTTGGCTTAGATCTGTGCAAACTGCTGCACTTGTCAATTATAAATAAATGGATTCATGCTAGCATCGTACGATCAGGGCAAGCTGGTACACCGCACCCGCAGGCCAGCTGGGGAAACACTCGAGTTATTCAATTGCCTTAATCGATCGAAGCCAATCCCCAACCCATCCGTTGCCTCAGGCGCCAACGGTGGCGAAGGCCAAGATGTACAAGGTCCTGAAGGAGATAGTGGAGGAGAATCAAAGTGGCACTTCGGGATCTAGCAACGTTGCCTGCCCATATATGGTGTTCTAGCTTGGGGCTGCGCTTGAGCTAACTTGGACCATAGCCTAGCTGTGATGAGCAATGTAAGCTAAGGTCAAGCTTGGAGGCAGAGTGAATGAAGCCTCGGCCAAGCGATTGCTCGCGAAGCAGCTGGGTCCAGAGCTTGCTGCACTAGACAACACCGCCTTCGTGGATATGAAGACTGGAAAGATCGCATCCAAGACTCTCGGATCTATTTGCTTAATTTTGCCAATTCTTAAATGTCTTAATTGCATGAATGTGAGATCCATCCAGGAAAGTCAAGAAGGCCCTGCCGCCAGAGAAGCAGATTGTCAAAGACATGAAAGCTCTGGTGTCCAGGTGCTGTCCCTATGTATTATTGTATAGTTTAATTAAATATATGATCTAGCTCATACTTGTGAGGCTCGAAAACCTGCAGAAGGCCATCCCGGCGAAAGTCCTGGAAATCCAGGGCTTGAAGATCCGGAACTCCTCGGAGCTCGTACACAACTTAGTGACAATGTGTCTGGCTGGCTGGCTACTATAGAATCGTTCTGTTGTTGTGAAATCCTTTGTGTCAGGTCCAGACCCTCGGGTCCCACGAGCCTCGGGTGTTGACCCTATGCGACGAAACGAAGCAGAAGTCAGAAGGCACTCCCGATGTGGAGGGCTGGCAGCAATGGCTGGACGATAATCATGCATTCGTTCAGACCGTTGATGCAGATATCCGCGAAGCCACTCGGAGAATCTCTACTGTAAAAGCGAAGAACAAGAAAGCCGCAGAAGAGGCTGCCAAGAAAAGAAGCTCCGACTTGCCAGATGATGAAGATGAAGAAAACGAGGATGAGGAAGAGGCTGATGATGATGAGGGTGAGGAGGATGAGTGATGGAGTTCTTCTGACGTGTAGTATTGTCACCTCTACACAATCGCCTTAGATGCATCATGCAGGTGCTGGAATAGTGGGTAACTTATGTGTATAAGCAAAACTCTTGTGATCATAGCCTGCTGTTGCAGTGGCGACTTGTGTATGTGTGAAGTTGCTAGAGCAGATACTGTGCAGAGAAGTATGCAGGTCGCTAGCCACAAACAATCTTAAGCCCCCCCCTCCAAAAAGAAATAATCCAAAAAACTCTATGCTAAGCCAATTACGCACCAAAACCTGCAGTTCTGAATTATTATAATCTCAAATCCCTTAAGACCCTTAACACCTCGAAGTCACTCCAAACCAGCAGTCAGTGTGTGTGTGTGTGTGTTCGTTTGCCTGAACTATCCTATGACCTAAACCCCGAAATGTTATAGCAGACCTGCTCTTCTGAGAACATGGTGTGTGTGTGTGCTCTAGTGCAGGGTAGGGGAACTGGACCTTCCTGTGTACCCTTAAGTAAGAGTATATTTGGCCCCTAGTATATAGGAGGTTTCGTGAAGGGTGTGTTCTAAAGGGTATTGATGGAGGGTCTAGGATATTAGGGCGTGGGCAATGTCGACGCCATCATTGCTCTGGGGTGTGCTGGATCGAGCTGTGCCGAAGTGGTGCAAAAGGATCCGGGCTTATTTCTGCAGGACTCGTGTCATATGACAAGTATGCAGACTCGTCTAGCAGCAAGCTGACTAGCATGTGAGCCCGATGTGCTGTTGTCGTAGTAGCATTGAGGTTCTAGCCCGAGACTTGCACAATGTCATTATTCTACTATCGACCACATATATACTTATATATATATATACACCATATATACCTATATATATATATATACATACTGCCACTACTGTCCTGGGAACCCAAATCCTGGAAGCTTATCCTTAACAATAACGGGTGCTGAAACCCTGCTTGGACCAAGCAAACCCTAAACCCTAAACACTGGCAAAAAACCGAAAACCCTAAACCCCTAAACCCTAAAACCCCTAAACCCTAAACCCCTAAACCCTTAACCTTAAACCCTAAACCCTAATCTAGACCCTAACACTGCCTTGGCTTCTGGCGACTGAGAATCTCATGGTTCATCCGATCGCCTTTGCCGAAATGTGCTCTTGCTCGTTCAGTTCGTCATGTTCTGGCAACAGCCCCCAATGTCACATTGCAGGTACAGGTGGTTTCGGGTGGATCCTGGGTGCCTTTGATCATGGATATTGTAGAAGAATTTGTGGAGCTTGGCAGGCAAGCGACTTGTCTGTAAAGGTCAGGTGCACTTTTTATGTGCAATGCCCGATTACGCATGCTCTTGGCCATAGCCTCTGAGGTCAGTGTCGAAACGTTGATGAATATGCTACGAGTCATACACCGGCGATTCCCACGGAGATTCTTGCCGACTCTGAGACTGAACATCGATCGGATCCTGACATACTAGCTGGTTTGGGCCATACATATATACTTAGTTGTTCAAAGAGCTTGGCCCAGGTCCAATCTATGCGATCTTTGCGACCGCCTCACTGAAGACTCCAAGAACCAGGTGCGAACATTCTGGAGATGGATGCAACGACAACCTTGGCGGCAAATGTTGCCGCAGCCGCACGAGAAACCCATCTCAAATTTAGCAGAACTGCTATGTGATGTTAATTAAGTCGGAAGGTCAATTGCCCCAAGACAATATCCAACGTGAACCAATAATAAGGATCGATGTGGTACTTGCCAAGACCTTAGTGCTGTTACTCCCAATCTATCGCGCTACAAATCCTGATGCTATAAATTTTCAGCTAAGATGGACCCCAAGCTGCCAGATCCCCACTACCTCGGCAAGTGGCACATGCTGTTGCCGAGTGAAATGCTACTTGGTGTGATCGTAGGTGCTCTGCTCATCCCAAACATACAACTATTAGCCCTCCATCAGGTTTGGATCGATCTATCGCTATGACAAGCGACTATTCAAGAGGCTGTTGCTGGGAAAAGAAGGGGCCCCTTGCCTGAATGTCGCCAGTTTGTCTGCAAGACCTGTCATGAGCTAGTCAGCCATATCGGAGATTCATGTGTGCAGGCGATGAAGGATTTCTGGGACAAGAACAAGTCTACAGCATGGTTCCGGGACAACCCCTACCTCCCAGAGCCTTGGCATGTCCAATGTGCATTACTTGAGTATTCGGTCCTATGGTTGATCAAGTTTAAAAAACTATCTAGCTACAATCTCAATTATTGTTTGCAGACCAAACCAGGAAATGGATTTACACAAGACAATCCCTATTGTGCTGCATGGGGATGATGCCGAATGTCATCGTCGACGATCATTTATGGTTGTTACTTGGGGCTCACTTCTAGTTCATGCAAGCCCCTGGGACTCCAAGCTGGTAGTGTATGCTGGGGACAACAGCCAGTGCTGTGCTGAGACATATGCTGTGCTTGACCAATGGCTGATTTGGTCCCTGGTGGAATTGCTACTGGGCTATTATCTTGATGTGGATCCTTGGGGCAACCCTTTTCCAAACCGTGACTCGGCTATGCATGACCGATACTGCACATGGTATGCCGGCATCTGTTGCAAACTTTCTGAGGTGGAAAATCCGGGCCTATTGCCAACGGCTGGCGTGGTGTGCTTGTCTTTCACAAAGGAGATGAGAAATACCTACAAAAGGTATATGGGATGGTGAACTCCGCTACGAGTAAGAACATATGCTTTGTCTGCCAGGCCTGGAGCTGCTAATAACTGTTTTTGAATTTCTGAAACTATATTAGTGTGCCATGATCGGAGGCGAACAATGATCCCCAATCAACACTGCTCTACACCAACCATGGACCCTCAGCCCCACATCGTCAGACGTACCTTGAACTGCAAGTTTTTGCACACATTGACACCCACATGATGAGGCCATAGCCATAATGATCTAAGGATGTTCAACACTCCGGACTTCATCCGGTCGGGATGTCGAGACAACCCTTTTATCCGCTATCCCGGTTTCCATGTGTCAATGATATGTGGGGATTGGCTCCACGTGATGGACTTGGCCGTTGTGCCCGACGCATGTGGTTCTGTGCTAGACCTAAAATTTTAAATCGAATCGCTACAGAATTTTTTACCCACAGCCAGGGGTTGGGTGGCTATGGGCTGAGGCACTTCTCGAGTTATCAGAAACCTCCGATGTTTGGCCTGGCTCCACCCAAGATGACCGCCTCCGCTATGCTTACTATGCTTACATGTGTTTTGCTGCGGAATGCAAAGCCAACAAGGTAAGAACCCAGCCTGCACATATCGATGGTCACAAATTTATTGCAGATCTTATCAATTTAGTTAAAGATGTTTATAATGATCGGTAATCCGACTGTCGCCCTCAGGAAATCGCGGCAAAATTTTCACAGTGCCACTCGGATTTGTGCTGCAAGTCATTTGGTATGTGTGGAGTCATTATTGCATGCATGATGTGCATGTAGCTTAGGAAGCACATTCGACAGGGAAACGCTTTCCCTTCAATCGCGCAGAAACACCTCAATGGAGCAGCAACTGCCCCAAGATTCACCAAATATGCTCATGGGGATGCTGTGCTGTGTACTGTGCATCGATTCAGGAAGCCTACATCCTGGCCAAATGGTTGAAGGGTGTGACACTTCGTGTGGCTGCTGCGAACCCTAGCGATGAGCATGCAGCGTGCCTGGGTTCAAAGGGATGGGGCATGTATTGTACGTTATGTGTACAAATCAGTTATGAGGCTACGTGCAGCTGTATTCTGCAACCTGGTGGACATGCGAGAAGCAATTTCCATCGACAAAAAGGGAAACCAGTATGCGACACTGTCTGATGCAAATGTGCAGAAGCTGCAGCAAGCGAA